TCCCCACTCCCGCGTGGCGGCGTCACGGAGATCGCTGTCGACCCGGACTTGTGGGCGCGATTGGAGGAAAAGGCCCGGGCAGAGTGCGAACGAGATGAGGCGGGGAGCCCGGCGAAGGAAAGCGGCGACGCCGACGAAGAGGCCGCAGAGGAAGGGGAGAGCGAGAAGGGGGCGGGGCCTAGAAGTGCGGGGTGGCGTGCGCTCCGGCGGCTCTGGGACAGGGTCCTGGCGCCGGCGCGCCGCTGGCGGCGTCCGCTCCCTAGCCACGGTGAGGGGCCGCCTAGGGTGGATGGTGGGGAGAGCGCGCCGCGGAACGCCGCAGTTCGGTTCCATGCCCCGACTGCGCTAACCCTTTCTCTTAATCTTCCAGTGCTCTACTGTCCCGAGATCAAGGACATTGCCCACCTGACCCGTTGCACGCTGTAACCGAGGAATCCAGAAGCTACTGCTGACGGAAGGTGGGAGCTGCAGCCTCGGGATGTGCTTTAGTGCAGGGAGCTGATGTCAAGACTACTACTCTCAGATCCCAGGATTGGCACTGATGAGATGAGCCAAGGGCAGGAGGGAACGCCCTGGAAGGTGTTGATGCTGAGCTGGGAGGCTCCTAGACAAACTCGCCCCCATCTACAGACTGTGCCAGTCTTACATTTTTCAGGATGGAGTGGCCAAGGGATGCTATAAACAAAGCCTACGTTATCGTGGGAAGAAGACAGACGTTTTCTTAGCTGTGACTTTGGCTTTTGTCCAAGGTGGTTCTGGTGTGTGGGAGCAACAGGTCCCATTTTAGCAATTCTTTGTCAATGGTTTGAATGTTTTTTAAAAAGATGGAACAGGAGAGAAGAGGCTAATTTTCACGTCATGTTAATCGCACTTCTCTGGCATGTAAGGGTGCTGGCATGCCTCCTGTCTCCCCACTCCCAGTTCTGTGATCCAAAAATGTAGATGCCTTCCTGCCTGTAAGATTAGGAGCCTTGCTTCATTTCAGAATCTCCCTTCAACCTGCCTGGGCAGGCATCAGAGATTCCAGAGGCACCTAATTAGGGACTATCGAAGTAGGAGAGAGAGTAATTTGGTAAAGGCACCAAATTTTAAACTTTTGCTATTATTTGTATTATATTGAATTACAGGGACTACTTATACACTGGCATTACTGAAAAAAATATACAGTTTTAAACTTCTTTCTCATTGGTACATCACCTACTCTATGCCATGGTTTGTTTTAAAATCCTATAAATAAACCAGGCTCGGTGGCTCAGCCTGTAATCCCGGCCTTTGGGAGGCTGAGGTGAGTGGATTGCCTGAACCTGCGGGTTCGAGACCCGCCTGGGCAGCGAGACCTCATCTCTACAATAAATCAAAAAAATCAGCCGGGCGTGGTAGCGCGCGCCTGTAATTCCGGCTACTTGGAAGGCTGAGGCAGAAGGATCGCCAGAGCCCAGCAGGTCGAGGCTGCGGTGGCCGGGAGCGGCCACTGCACTCCAGTCTGGGCGAGAGAGTGAGACTCCAAGTAAAAAACAATTTTTTAAAATAAATAAATAAAATAAAAAATCCTATAAATATCTTTTGATCCTCCGTTGATGGAAGTGCAGAATTTCACTCTAGGATCCCCATTCCAGACTTCCTCAGTTGGACTCTGCATTTTAACAATCTCAGGTGATTCCTGTGCATGTAAACATTTAAGTAGCATTGGTCTAGATCCTAGACTTTCTAGGATATCAACCATCTGTGAGTGGAATATTTAAAGCACAATTGGTATAACTGATATACCATTTTATTAAAATTGCTAAAGTAACATTCTATTGTTGAAGAAATCTTGTTACATTTTTCTTAGTCTAAAAATGTGAACTTATTAAGTATTAATTTCAATATTTTAGGAGTCTCCAAACATTTTAAGAGTATTATTTTTCACAAATCATAATTATAAACATTAATGGGGTATAAACCTCAATTTTTGTAACCATATTTTGGCATTTCCTTGTCCTTAAGTCTCAGCTTAAATGCTCCCTCTTTTGGGAGGCCTTTTTCTGGATTCAACTTAGTAGAACCCTTTCCCCCACCCTAACATGCCTTGTTTTAGTTTTACTGCTTTTATTTTCTGACATTTCATGTTTTGTGGGTGTCCCCCACTGGAGTGTAAGCTCTATGGGAGCAATGACTGACTTGTGACTGTTTTATCTATAAGGCCAACAGCAGTGTTAATGTATAGTATATATTCAATAAATATTTATTGAGTTTATCTTTTAAAAAATATGTAATAGCCTTAAGAACTAAGTATCTGGCCTCTTTGAACCTCTGAGAGGCTCTGTTAGTGAACAATAAATGTCAAAGAAGTGTCTAGCAGTTCAACTCTTTTGGCAAGCTATGCAGATCTGACCTTCTTTAAAAAAAAAAAAAAAACAGTGTGCCTCTGCTTCATACAGGAACTAAACCTTTAGAGCTGTAGTGACCTCTACTGACTCTTAGGGGAACTATGCAACTTGAAGGTAGAAAGGATGATCAAAAGGATGGTTAGAAGGTAATTCTGCATCTTGCCAGGCTCTCTTTGCACTACACTTCTGTCCAGTAAGTCCTGCTTTTCCTGCGCTCAACCTGAACCACGTAGGTATCTGCTGTTCACCATCCCCTGTGGCTCACCCTTCATTTCTACACTGAGCGAATCATGTGATTAGGGTTGATAGTAGAACCTCAGTTTTAGTAAATGATCCAAGAGATAAAAAATTAGGAAAAGGAAAAAAACCCCACAAGTTTTTTAAAAAGAAAAAGATGGATAATATGAAATGGCAGAAAGCAACAACTTTTCTTACCCTTCCCCCAACAAGAACCCCCCCAGTAAAAAATAACAGAGCACACAGAAAGGAAAGTATAATTTATATGTACAACCAATAAACCTGATACAGAAGAGGGGATCAGGACAGACCAGGAGTGGGTGTGAAGAGAGACTGGGAAAGGGGCAGCAAGAAAGTGAAGGGGCAGCGAAGAGGAAGTGGGGGGTTCGCCATGCAAACTGCCACTCTCCCCGGCCCCTCCTGGGAAGGGGGGATGTGCCCATGTCTCCCTAGCCTGCCCTCCACTATTTTGCTCTGGTCCCAAAGGCAAGGTAGGTCCCAAGGCCTTGACTAGGCCTCCTGCTTGACCTACACAAATTTAGTCTACATCCAGGCCTCGAGGAGGGAGGGTAGAAGTCCTCCAGGAACCTGAGCCCTAGAGATGAGGGCTTTCCCCATGTCTGGCCTGTTGTATTCTCTCCTACCCTTCTAGGTTACCTGGCTTCCTAGAACAGGCTGGGGAGCTCCTCTTTGGCTTGAGGAAGTATCGCCCAACCATTACTCTTTTTGAAGGAGTGGTCCTTGGTTCCTAGGGAGCAGGGAGATTCCCAACACAAGATGCCGGTACACAGGAGGTAACTGAGCCAGTGAACGGTGCCTTTATTCTGAGGCAGAACAGCAATTGACTCCCTCCCTTGTAACTGTTCCACCCCCCATTTGGGGAGAGGTAGGGGAAGGTAACATGCAGCCACCCCTCCTCTTCCCTTCCTCCCAAGGCTCATTTTCATCCCTCTCTAAAAGTCCCCCTCCTCTCTTCAATGCTCTTTTCCCCACAAGAGTTCCTAAAGGCCAGGCAAGGCTAATCCTCCATTCCTGCAGGAGATGGAGCTGATACTGCAGGGAAAAAGACTGGGGATGCTCTACCTCTTTCCTCCTCACAACCATTTATTGAGAAGCTGTGTATATTTGGCAGTGGAGGATAAAGGTACTTGGAAGACCCTCCTAACCATCTCCCACCCAGACCTTTTCTCACCAGCACAGTCTTCAAAGCTTGGTGGAAAAGGTGCATGGGAGTAGAGAAGGACAAAGGGCCCTTCTTGAAGAGAGGAGCTGTAGAGAGGGGTAGAGGGGCTCCTAGCCCAACGGTGGCCCAAGGGGCGGGGAAGGCGGAGGGTTGGCAACAGGCCCCAGAGCCTGAGCTTGGGAACGGGGCCTGGGTGAAGGGCAGGCCTGGGATCCAGTCAGTCGTCTATACAGATCACCTCCCCGGCTCGGGGCTCCTTCCGATCCAGCCCGTCTGACACCAACGCCCCCACCATTTCTTTCTCCTTCTTCACCAGCACTGGAGGGCCGTTGGTGGCGGCTGTTTGGGAAGGGGGTAAGGAAAGGTCAATCCCCATGTCATTCCCAAATGTCACTTCCTGGCAATAGTATAGTCTCACTTCTAGGTCACCTTCTGCCACTTCTGATTGTCCCAGGTTAAGGGAGGGAAGACCAAGGTGAACCCTTCTTCCTGAGATTCCACTTTGTGCCACATGATGAACACATGTTCCAACTCTCACTATACCCCTTCTAATTTCATATTCACTTTCCCTTGAAGTAACCCAGGTGGCTGAGGCTCAGGTAGAAGATACCAAGCCACAGAACCACTAAAACCCTGGATGAGGTTTTTGATAAAGGGTTCACAGAAGAGGGATTAAGAAAGGGATGGGAAGAACAAAGCCTAGGACAACTCTATTCCACAAAATACTGGATGTGACCAAGGAAATGAAATGGACTGGAATGGTTAAAGAGCAGCTGAGCAGGAATAAAGCTTGCTGAAGGAAGAATGGGAGAAGCAGGGAGTAGGAAACCACCAGCTGACCTGTGATGAAGGACCCTGCAGGCATCTGGCTGTAATTGGCGCCTGCGGCGGCCAGGGCCCCTACGGGTGCGGCGCTGAAGGCCGCCCCGTACCCCGGAGGTGTAGCGTAGGGACCCGGGGGGAAGGCCTGGAATAGAGAGCAAGCTGAGGTTAGAGTTAGTCCATAGTCCATGAGAGGAAAGAAGCTGTAGGGGAGACATTCTAAGCCACACTCCAGAACTACTGAGGGTATAATATACAGGCAGGGAGACTCACTCAAGGGTGATGACTGTGTTCTAGCAAGTTGTTTTTCCATATCGTATAGGATTATGATGCAAGTGTTTACATGTGTGCAGGAGGAGCACCAACAGGGAAAACTGGAGTTAGGGGGGAAGAGGGTTACCGGTGTGGGGTGAGGCTCCGTGCCCTTGCTGGCCAGCCGGCTGAGGATGCTGCGCTCGGACATCTGAAGGCGAGCTGCGATGGGGGGTATTCGGGACAGCGTGGCTGGCAGGCGGGTCACGTCCGCCTTCATGTCGCTCAGCAACTCCTCCAGCTGGTTCAGAACTGGGGCCCGGGCCACGGAGAAAGAAGGGCAAGAGAAAGACAGGGAAAGAGAGATGGAGCCAGGAAAAGAGGAGAGTCAGAGGACAGATACAGGCAGAAAAAGAAAAGGAAGACACAGATGTCAAAGAACCAGAGACCAAGAAAGTGACAGAAGTAGAAAAAGAAAGCAACTCAAGGGAAAAGAGAAAGTGTCAGGAAAAGAGACAGAGAGACCAGACAGCCACAGAGAATGGGCAGAGAGAAAGAAGGAAAAGGGAACATGGAGAAAAGGGAGACAGGGGAGGACATTGGAAGACATGGGGGCGGGGAGTTGTCAGAACATCCCATACTGGAAGAGTGAGGTTTGGGGTTGGGGATGTTGGGGAGGAAATAGGAGGCGTGGGAGGTGGTAAGTGGTGTCAAAGCTTTAAGCAATCAAGGTTTTAATACTTAAAGGGAGAAGAAGGTTAGAAGGTCAGTATCACAGATTCAAGGAATTAGAACAGGGGTCAAAGGGCCAGGAGTCAATCACTACACATCAGGCAGGATTAGCTGGTTAGAGGGCTTTGGGATTTAATCTATCATTATCAAGGTAAGAGAGGGTAGGAGGAAGGGTCGAAGGTCAAAGGGAAGTTT